CGGTCGATGTAATCCTGCAGGCGGAAGTTGATCTCCTCTTGCTTTTGAATCGCTTCCATGAGCTGCGAGGGAAGGAGAGAGGGAGCGAGCGGTCAGTGCCTGCTGCTGCCCCGGGGCAGAAGCCGACCCGTGCACCCACGGAGGTTTCCCTCCCTTCTTTGTTCTGGCTCGGGATGTTCCTGGCCACATACGAGCCTTTCACATGTGACTGCCACGGAGCAGAGGGTGCTGTGGGCTCCCTAACACTCAGCTGAACTCCCTGTGGGATGCTCTTACTCCCGATGGGTCTCCCCTGAAATTCTCCTGCATCCCCAGATCTCCAAACCGCACGGGCGAGCGCTCGGCCACCGAAGCCAGAGATGCAGGTGGGGAGCGCAGCCACGGCAGGCTGAGCCATGGAGCAGGGAGAACACGTACCAGAGAAGCCAAGATCTTTTCTCAAGATCTGTTCTAAGACAGCTCCAGACAGCCAGACAGCCCACCCCGTGCTCACTGGTCTGTCCCAGGAAGGGGAAGGCAGTCACAGGGCAGGGAAAACCGAGCTGCCAGTATCAGCAAACTGGAAGGGAGCAGCTTCCCCTGTTCCCAGGAAGAAGGGCTGGCAGGCAGGGTAAGTCCTGCAAGCTCTTCAAACAGTCGTGTGGGTATTTCTTTGCTCACAACAGCTTTCAAGGGAATTTTGGGAGTGAGCTGTACCGCAGACAGGGCCACATCAGCTCCTCCCAGGCCCTCGGTTGGCTGAGCGGGGACAAGATGCACCAGCCACCCCAGGAAGATGCAGTTTGAAGTAAGCAGTACCCCGTGGCACGTACCTCATCTCTGGAGACCGAGCTGATCTCCGCTGCCAGGGATTCGGAGAAGGAGGCTGAGAAGAGGTTCTTGGCTCCCTGGATGCTCAAGTTAATGATCTGCCCATTCAGTTCATCGTTCTGCTCCTTCAGGTTCCTGTTATCCTGTTCACAACAGACAAACATCAGCCGGTGCTGAAGCACATGGTGCTCCCAGATCCCAGTTGGACAGGGAAGGCAGAGGCTTTCATCCTAACCAGCAGTCACACAGCGCTGGGAACAGCACTCCATCTCCTGACTCCGATTCGACAGAGCCTGGAGAACCTCTGGAAGCACACAACGCATTGGGAAGATCCAGGGGCTCTTGAGTGTCCGTGCTGTCCTTCAGAGGAAGAAGCCAACCTCTGCTGTCCCAGGACAGAAGCACAAGAAAGCAGCAGGCTGCTGGATCCATGGTTGGCTCCTCGGGATCCTCTGGGGCCCCACTGACCGCTCCTCAGTGTCAGGGAACTGGCATCCCCTTCCGCAGCCCGAGCAGAGCCAGGACGCTTCCCTCCCTGCCCAGCCCTGCGTACCTGCTTGAGCTGCTTGATCTCTTGCTCCAGCTCTGTCTCCCGCGTCCTGCTGTTGTACTCCTGGAGCCCCATGCTGCTGCTCCTGCCTCTTCGCTGCTCAGCTTCCAGTTTGAAGAGTTGCAAGTGCTCGAGCTGCTTCCTGAGGTCCTCAATGAGCTGCAGGACAAGGGAAGAGGACAACTGAGCGCCGCGTCCCCTACAAGTCCGACAGCTCGTGCTGGTCATGGCTGGTGAGACATGGGCTGGGAGCAACCCCATCGGTTGTGGCAGGGGGATTAACAGGCCCTTCCTGGGAGACACACGGCTTCCCCTTCCTCCCCCACACCTCTAGCGAGCAGGAGAGGGGGAGCTACTTAAATACAGGAGAGCAGCTTCATTCCCTGGAAGGATTTTGTTGGAGCTCCAAAGATGCTGGGTCCGGGTCTGCAGCTGCAGCTCCCTCCTGCCACGGTGCTGCGAATCCCCGTCTCGCCCGACTGCTCCCACCATCACCACAATGCCAATAGTTTCCACTTTGAGGCCCAAAGCTCCTTTCCTACCACAACAAGCCCTGCTTGAGCCTCCAGCTGGAACTACCAACCACACAGACACCTGGAAGGGGCTGGGGGGGTGGTGGGGGGGGTGCATTTCTGCCCCCCAGCACGCAGGAGCTGGCAGCTCTCACCCATGCAGCTGCCTGCCTGCTGGCTCCACGTGCCATTGTCACCACGCTTCTGCCACTGCTCCTTCCACATGGGAGAGGAACGGGCCAGGGTGGCCCAGCCCCGCTGGGTTTGCAGATGCCAAGACACTTGGCTGAATTTTAACGCAGACAAAAGTGATAGATGTTATCTAGTTAAGCTGCTGTACCACCTTTCTCTGCCCGGGGCAGGACCAAACGCTCCAGTTACACCTATTTTTGGAGAGGCTGCTGATGCCAGCTTCCCCACAGAGCCCTAATTT